AGCTTAGAGCCAGAAAAGCTTCTGAAGGTCAGTATTATGACCTTTGTCTTTCCCTTTCCTTCCTTCCCCTTCCCTTCCCTTCCTTTCTTATTTATTTATTTGGGTATGTGTGCAGGTGTGCACTTTTCATGGCATGCATGTTGAGGTCAGAAGACCACTTTCAGGAGTCAGTCGCCACCTTCCACCTTGTTGAAACAGTGTCTCATTGTTTCTGATGCCCTGCATATTTCAGACTAGCTGGCCTGCAAATTTCTGAGAATTACCACATCTGGCATTTAGTGTGGATTCCAAAGATCATCAAACTGAGGTAATCAGCCTTGTAGCTAGTGTTTTCACCCACTGAGCCATCTTCCTGAACCTGACCTTGTAATCTTTTTATGTATGTATGTGCCCATGCTGAGGTGTAGATATGGTGGTCAGAAGGAAGTTTTATGGAGTTAGTTCTCAGCTTCCACCCTTACCTGGTTCCAGCAGTCAAACTCAGATCATCAGACTTGTGTTACCCAGCTGAGCCACCTCACTAGCCTGCCTTGTGCATTTTATGTTTGAGACAGAGTACCTAGTAATTGTTTTCTGATATGTAAACACATAAGTATCTTACTGTACACAGTAAAAGTAACATTAAATATTTTATGTAAAACTTAAGGATTATAGGCTACATGTAGTAGGCCTCTGATGACTGTCAGTTTAGAACATGTGTAAACTTACTTTTTGCCATTCTTTTAACAGTATAGTGTAACAGCTGATGACACAGTATTTATATGACATGAGATATTTGAAGCAACCTAGAGGTGATTTTTAAATACATAGGAGTTTGTGTAAATGCGGGGCTATTTTATTTTGTTGTTAACTATTATTTTGATGTTATTAAAATATTTCAAATTTTTATTTTATTTTATTTGTGTGTGTGTGTGTGTGTGTGTGTGTGTGTGTGTGTGTGTCTGCTGGTAACAGGAGGGGCCAGAAGAGGGCATTGGATTACCTGAAGCTGGAGTTACAGGTAGTTGTGAGATGCCTGACATGAATGCTGGGATTTGAATTAGCATCTCCTGAAAGAGCAACAAGTACTCTTATCCACAGAGCCATCTCTCCAGCCCCAACAGTGCTATTTTATAAAAGAGAATTGAGGAGGATAGCTTCTGTTCTGATTCTGCCATTTGTAGTTTTTTGATTGGCATATTCTCTCTCCCAGTTGTCTTTTCAATATATTTGGGCAGATTTCACTGGGTCTAGCTATGCAAGTGTCTTACTTCAAATTAGATTTTTTTTTTGAAGACCTGCCTGTCACTGAGCTCAGATTTGTTCAAGCCTTAACAGCTTAGATTCTCACCAAGCAGGGTGGTACACACCTCTGTAGTCCCTGAGATAGAAAGGTAGTGAGTTTAAGGCCAGCCTGGGTTATATACAGTTCAAGGCTAGCCTGGGCTGCAAGAGACCAATCTTAAGAAAATTAAATCAGGCTAAAGAAGACAAACAATTTAGAATCTCTAACTTTGTGTTGAACATAGAAGAATTTGGACCTGGCACATGAAAAGCCCTGTGTACAAAATAGAAACACATCCGGTGCTGGAGCTAGTCTACACATAGATGAAAATCAAATGTGTCCACTGGCACTGCTTCCTCCTGGCAGCTCAGATTGCCAACTGAGCAGCTCAGTGCTCTGTTGATAAACATTTACTTTCCTGGGCAGAAGGAAATTTCTGTCCTTGATTTGTGTCACTAAGTGGAACGGAATTGTAAGCAACAGACAGATGAGTCTCAAACAGGAGCAGCACTAAAAAGGACCAGTTGGCCCCTTTGCAAAAGCAGGCCCCTTTGAAAAAAAAAATGTGTCTCTGAGTGTCATCTGTGGGTAATGAAGCAGCGAGACTGTCAAACTCACAGATGGGTCATGACTCATCAGACATGTATTTTCACTGGGTTTCTTCCTCCATGTGAGTTGAAGACTTGGTCTTCTGTACATGCAGCTCAGACCAAAGAGCACCATATGCCTCAAGCCTGTCTCAAATGAGACTTCACTATCCCGGAATTAATGAACTGTTGCCAACAAGGGTACCAGAAATCCATCAGCATACCTTTTAACAAATACAAGGCAGCAGAATATCCATGTAACCTTGGACTCTTTTTCCCTCAAGCCATATGCAAAGCGTAACTCAAAATGAATTGAAACCTAAATACAACATCTAAACATTTAACCCTCCAAAGAGCTGGGGACAGAACCAAATGTAATAAAGGTCTAGATTTAATTGCTGACTCCACAGTGCTAATGAGGGCTGTGCCACTCTGGTTATAAAGCCCTTATCACATGATTCACACATTTCTTTCCCCTTTTAGGGATTTTGTTTTCATTATTTGGATAATACCATTTCCAGCACCAACTTTTAACATCGAAGACTTTCAATTTATGTTGTGTTTGTTTGTTGTGCAGAATTAGGATCAAACGCAAGGCCTTATACACACTTAGCAAGTGTCTGTCATTTTGTTTTCTTTTTGTTGTCTGGTACCAGAGATTAAATCTAGAGCTTTCTTCTACCATTCAAAGTGTATAATGGTTTTTGCTACATGCAGTTGTGCAAACATGCCCACATTTGAATCCTAGAGTGCTGTCATCATGCTTAGAGAATCCCGTGTTCACTAACTGCCACTCCCCATTCTTACATAACCCCCACCCTGAATCTTCTCATCTGCTTCCTGTCTTTGAATTCATCTGTGCTGCACATGGAATCATACAACACATGGGGTTTCCTGACTGGCCCCTTACCTTTGGCACATTTCTAGGGTTCATTCATGTTCCCTCAGTGTCATACTTCCTTTTCATCCCACCCATGGGCATACCACACTTAGTTGATTCATGTTTGGATTTTGTAGTGTAAAATGGCTCTCGTTAAAAGCACTGACTGCTCTTACAGAGTACTTGGGTTCGATTCCCAGTACTCATAACATGTAACTACCTGTAACTCTAGTTCCAGGAGATCCAGTGCCACCTGCTGGGCTCCATGGACACTCCACACTACATACATACAGGCAATACACCTATAGACATAAGATAAACAAATAAAATCTTAATAAACAAAATATAGCTTACTACCATCCTCCTAGAATCTGAATGCATGGAGAGGCATACTTTGCAAGCAGAATAGAAAACAGGCTTGATGAACCACTTGGTTCCCTGTCTGTTTCCACATCCAAGTGGACATAACATTCTAATTTCTGCCCAGCCTTGTCTTTCTACTGCCATGGCACTAATTTAAGTATGGTCTATATTATTCAAATGCTGCCCTGCATTTTGTTAAATTATTAGCACTCAAGTCCAAGGTAGCACTCTCTTTGTGAGTGTTTACAGGTTGTTTCTGTATCTCTCTGAATAGTTGTGACCTTTAGCTGTGACCTCTCACAAGAACTGAACTCTCAGCGTTTTCAGATTAATTTCCTCATTCTTATGAGGCCACTCTCACATGTTGTCTATAGTCTTCCTGTTATTTACTGTATGAATAGTCTTTCTTAAAATAGACAACTTTATTTAGACATCATAGTGGGAAAGTTCCCAGCTAAATGCACAGACAAGCAAGGTATTACTGTGTTAATGCAGGAGCCAATGAGTTACATGGGTCTGAGTATGGAGGAGACAGCACCACGGTTGTGCGTGGGTCAGACCAGGTCAGAGGCCATAGGCTGATGCCACTTTCCCATAGTGGAGCATGCTTTCAATAGTTATTTTGTTTCAGTAATGTCAGGAACAAATAAAAAACTGGTACCAGATTCTCTTATGTCTGAACTGATGCTGCTTTGCATACACAAATTCCAGGGCATTTTAGTAGCACAGCCATAGGCAAATAAAGCCCGTTTCTTCCTCACTGCTTTCTTATGTTCATTATGCCTGAACTCTCAACTCTGAACCATGCCTTGATGAAAGTCTCAGACACACAACGAAAGTATCTCAGGTGGCAACAGCTATGGCTTAAGAGCAACAGGCATCTCTGTTTAGCTCTCTACTTGGAAGTGGCCAATACCTCACCTCAAGCATAATACAGAGAACCGGTTTAGGAAGTGGGGTATGAGTAAAAGCAGGAAACAGCATTCAAGATCTCTGGTCTGTGCAAACTGATGTGAGGCTGCGGAGCTGCTGCTCACACCGCGCTAGCGACCACAGCCTCTAGTTCAGTCTGCAAACCGTGGCTAAAGGTCTGACTTTAGGTCACCTCTATAGCTCTATGAAAGAAACCAAATCTGAAGGAGTAGCATTATCTACAACACAGGAAGGACTGTGAAAATGCTGAAGGCACACACAGAATTAATACTTTTTTCTTGAAGGGCACCTTGAATTACATTCAGCACTTGTTTGAATTTATTTATTAGGGACAGACTTATGGACATTTTATTTGTATTTAAATTTTGGCAAAAAAAACTTTGGTCATAGTTCTACAAAAACTTTTTAAAGAGTTATTTTTGATTAAAATACTCTTTGAGAAGTGATACACAACAAGAACAGAAAAGTAAACGTTCACACCTGAGAGATTCTTAAATACAGCAGGAGTCAGTAGTGCTTACAGAAAGGAGGGTCCTCTTAAGGAAAAGGAGCCAGTATCAAAATAAGGCACAGCCTGTTATTGTCACCAATTTGTACTAGGCAGTAGTGTTCTTCTTGGAAGGCACAAGCTGTGAATCTAATCACCCAAAGGTTTGAAAATGTGGTTTTGAGACCATGTCAGATGTGGGAACAACTGACTTGAATAGAATCTCCTTCCTGGAATCCACAGCAAGTCATGAGTGACAACATCCATCTAAACTCCAGCATTCTGGAACACCAGAAGTCCTCTCTCCTAGTCGGTGCATAACTTTGTGAAGGCACTGTGCAAAATGTGGGTAGGGCAGCTCACACCCCCATTTGAAGTGTATATTAAAACACAGACACATTCCCTAGGCACTGAACTCTATGCAAACTAACAAAAATAATCTTTTGGGGAAAAAAAAGCAGTAGCTAAGCTCAATAAGTAGGCTTCAGTTTCACCAGGTTCTTCAGTAAGAGACACACCACACAACAATGATGATGACAACAATCACCAGGACACTGATCCCTATCGCCCACATCTTGCAGTTCTTCCACCAGTACTTTCTCTTCAGCTTGGCACCACTTGTTTCAGACTGAGAAGCCTGCAGTGCAACTGCGTGATCATCTAGCTCTGAGAGCTTCTCATCTCTTTTTAACTCCTTGTCTACATTGTCTACATTGATCATAATATCAACCACCTCATCTACTTGATTCTGTGTCTGCTGGAGTCTGCGGTTATTGCCAGAGGCAGCACTTGAACTTCCCAAAGGCACACCTGTGGACATTTTGGCGGTGGCAGCAGCAGCAACAACCAATCAAGGGTTGGTGGACTTGTATGAACAGTCTTGATTCGAGTGCCAGTTTTAATTGATCAATAGTCACATGTAGCCAATGCCTGTCATCCATCCTTGTAGAAAGCCCTCTGGGACAGTGCTGGTCTGCCTAGATATTCAGTACAGTAAGCACCTAGCAGATATTTATGAATGACTGAATATAATCATGACTATTATCTATGACAGGAATTTACCCAATCTCTGCTTTTGTACTTCAGCACCCCCTGCCTGGACTATGAGGCAGATTATTGAATTATTAAGACAGACCTAGGTATCTCTTTCTTCTTCATGTACGTGGCTGTTATTAACTTCTTTAAAATTTTTGTAAAGTAATCCATCTTACATAATCCAAAAATAGTGCCCAAGAATTAAAAGATGACAATCACTTCCCCAAATTGACTCTACCCTAAGTTAAACACTGCTCACATGAACTTCATGCACCTTGGTGAGTGAGCTCTAGCGTATCAATGATTCTTACAAATAGTTGAATCTAGATGCAGTGTGACCGGGGTAGAACTGGGTCAGTTGTCACCTCTTTCTGGCACCTACATCTGCCTTACTATAAAGTTCATATCCAGCCCAAAATTTAGCAGTTAGCACACTAGATAGCCAGAGGTTGTCCACTGTGTGTATATATGATGATAAGCTTAACACTTAATGTTTTTAATTAGAGATTAAAAAGTGTCATAAACTTTTTTCTACAATATATCATGTTTAATTATATGCTTTTTTCATTTGATTAAAAAACTGAGATTTATTTACACCCAGTGAGCATTTACTTTGAATTTAGTTCTGCTGTTCCCTGTCTGTGTTATTTATCATTGTTTATAATACTTTTAACATTAAATTTTAAAAAATAACATTTATTAGTATGTGTGTACATGCATACATGCGCATGTACCATAGTGTGCATGCATATGGAAGTCAAAAGACAATTTGTGGAAGTCTATTCTCTCATTCAACCTTGTGAATTTCCCAGGCTTGGTGGCAAGTATCTTTATTCACTGAACCAGCTAATCAACCCAATTTCCCCCTTTTACTAAAAATAGATCTTTTCTCATATAATACATTCTGATTACAGTTTCGCTTCCCTCTGCTCCTCCAAGTTCCTCCCTATTTCCCCTTCCATCCAAATCCACTGCCTTTCTATGTCTGTTAGAAAAGAACAGGCGTCTAAGAGATAGTGACAAAACATAACAAAATAAAGTATAATAAGATAAAAGAAAATAGTCACATTGAAGCTGGACAAGGTAAACCAACAGCAGAAAAAAAAGTCCCAAGAGAAGACATAAGAATCAGAGACCCACTTGTTCACATACTCAAGAGTCCCCTAAAAACACTAAATTGAAAGCTGCAATATATATGCAGAGGACCTGGTGCAGGCCTATGTAGGCCCTTGCTAGCTGCTTCCATCTCTGAGTTTATGTGAGCTTTGCTCATTTGATTTAGAGAAACTTGTTATCCTGGTGTCCTGCATCCCTTCTGACTTTTACACTTTCTGTCTCCTCTTCCGCAGGGCTCCCTGAGCTTTAAGGGGAGGGATATGATGAAGACATCCCATTTAGAGCTGTGTGTTTCAAGGTCTCTCACTCTCTGCATTATATCTGGTGTGGGTCTCTGTGTTTATTCCCACTTGCTACAGGAGGAAGCTTCTCTGATGACGGCTGAGCAAGGCACTGATCTATGAGTATAGGAATCATTTTATCAGTACTTTTTTTTGGTAGACTGGTAGTACTTGGTTTTACCCTAGGTCTCTGGACTATCTAGTCTCTGATTCGGGGTCAACCAATTTGTGTCAGGTGTGGGTTCCATCTTGTGGAGTGGGCAAGACAGTGGCTTACTCCCACAAGCTATATGCCACCATTGTCCTATCATATTTTACAGGAGGACAGCATTGTAGATCAAAGGTGGCTGGGTTGGTGTTTACATTTCTCTTTTGGTAGCCTGAAGAATAGCTGTACCAAGACACTAGAATGTAGGAATGGGGGTTCTATGTAGGCACCAGCTCAACTCTCCATGTTCAGTGAGTTCATGTTCAGGGTGTTGTCTTTGACCCTGTTGTCAGTTTGTAGCGAGTAACCTATTATTTTATTTTATTTTATTTATTTATTTTGGTTTTTCGAGATAGGGTTTCACTGTAGTTTTAGAGCCTGTCCTGGAACTAGCTCTTGTAGACCTGGCTGGCTTTGAGCTCACAGAGATCCACCTGTCTCTGCCTCCCAAATGCTGGGATTAAAGGCGTGTGCCACCACCACCCGGCTGTAACCTATTATTTTAGCAATAGCCTTGGGTTGTTTGGAAATTTCTATGGGACCCCTTTGGTTAACGGCTCAACTGAATGTGACCCAGTCCTGGTACTGGAAGCTTAGTTTGGTGATGAAAGACAGCCAGTTGGGATTCCGTCTCCTTCATTATTTAGAGACTTCATAGGATTCCCTTCATATATTTTAGAAAGTTTGACTGTACTAGGTTTCTTTGCCATCCCTCAAATGCCTTTTAATTCTAGCTATCCCCTCCCAACTTTCCCTCCACCAACCCCATTTCCCTTCTCCCTCCCCACATGATCTTTCCATTCTTGTATCTCCTGTCATTTATTTAATTGCTAGTATCTACATATAAGTGAATATATACCATATTTATCTTTCTGGGTCTGAGTTACTTCACTAAAGATGATTTTTTTCTAGTTCCATCCATTATCCTGCAAATTTCATGGCATAACTTTTTTAAAAAACTGAGTAACACTCCATTGTATTTTTCTTTATCCATTTTCTTTATCCATTCTTCTGTTGAGGGACATTTTGGTTGTTTCCAATTTCTGGCTATTACGAACAGAGCAACAATGAACATGGTTGAGCAAGTGTCCTTGTGATGGGATGAAATATTCTTTGGGTATATGACCAAGAGTGGTGTAGCTGGATCTTGTGATAGATCAATTCCCATCCTTCTCAGGAATTGCCACACTGATTTCCATAGTGGTTGTACAGGTTTGCACTTTGAAAGATTATTCCACATCTTCATCATGAGCTGTCAATTGTGTTATTGATCTCAGCCAATCTGACAGGTATAAAATAGACTCTCAAAGTAGTTTTGATTTGCATTTCCCTGACGACTGAGGTGTTGAACATTTCTATTTCTTAGCTGCTTGAGTTTCCTGTATTGAGAATTTTCTGTTTTGATTGTACTCCATTTTTAAATTGGATTATTTTGTATTTTGATATCTAGTTTGTTGAGTTCTTTACTAATATATTTTGGATATTCGTCCTCTATCTGATGTGGAGTTGGTAAAAATCTTTTCCTCTTTTGTAGGGTGCCACTTTATCCTAAGGATAAAGTCCTTTGCCTTACAGAAGCTTTTCGGTTTCATGAAGTCCCATTTGTTAATTGTTGATCTTAGTGCCTGCAATAGCAGTGTTCTGTTCAGAAAGTCCCCTATACCAATGAGTTCAAGGCTATTCCCCACTTTCTCTTCTATCAGGTTCAGTGAATCTGGTTTTATGTTAAGGTCTTTGATCAATTGGGAGTTGAGTTTTGTGCAGGGTGGTAAGTATGGATCTATTTAATCAGTTCAAATTAAAAAAAATATTTTGCAGTGTCTCACCTCTCACAAGGTCTTATTCCTGCCTGACCTTGAACTGGGTGTGTAGGCTGGCCTTGAACTCACAGAAATCTGCCTGCCTCTGCCTTCTGAGGGCAGAATTAAAAGTGGTGGTTGCACCGCCACCACCTAACATATATGTATTAGTTTTAGAGATAAGTTTTGTTACACAGCCTAGTCTGGCCTTAGACTTAGATACTTGTCCAAGCCCTTTGCCCATTTATGACTTTTGGTCTTGTTATTGTTAAGATACAGGATTTCCTGATGGATCTTGGATAGTAAATACTGACCAGATAGGTAATCTGCAAATATTTCTCCTGTTTTGTAAATTGTTTTTTTCAGTATATTTCCATTGTATGAAGAAGTATTTTTTATTTATTTTTATTTGTGTGGGTAGGTACAATATGTACTTTCAGAGGCCAGAAGTTGGTATCACATGACTTCTCTATCACTCTCCATCTTATAGTTTTGAGATGTGTTCTCTCTCTGAATCTGGAGCTCATCAACTAACGTAGACTGACTGACCAGCAAGTCCCAGGGTCACTCCTATTTCCACTCCCAGCGCTGGGATTACAGGAACAAGGCTACCATACTTAGCTTTTTATGTAGTTGCTAGGCGACTGAACTTGGCCTCAGTTGCACAGCCAGCACTTTGCCCACAGCTTGCCAGGCCCTGTGTGCATAAGTTTTAAAGTTTCACATGTTCTCATTTGCCTAATTTTACATTTGATTTTAAGTCTTGATTTATCTTGAGTTTACTCTTAAGTATGGGTTTGAGGTTCAACTTTATACTTTTTGTGTGTGGCAGTCAAAGTTTTCCCAGCACTGTGTGTTGAACACTGACCTTCTCTGTGTATCCTTAGAGGCTTAATGAAGACCATTTGACCATATATACAAGGGTTTGCTCCAGAATTTTCTCTACTGCTTTATTGTCTTGTATGTATCTCTATACTAGTACTATACCATCTTGGTGATTGGGTTGTGCATTTTAAAATAAGAAGTGTGAGACCTCCCGCTTTGTCCTTTTTCAAGGCTATTTTGAATGTTCAAAGCCCCTTGAGATTTTGTATGAATTTTAGGATTGTTTATTTTATATTTTAGGTATGGTCTTCTAGTTATAAAGCTCATACTTACTTTATAGTCAAGGCTGACCTTGAACGCGGTATTTCCTTCCATACTTTCCCAAATTCACAGATTATGGGTGTGTGCCACCATGCCCAACACAGAAAATTATCAATGTCTGATTTTTAAAAAAATGTTATTAGGAGGTTGTTTTGTCTTAAAATAGTGTCTTCCATTGATGTCCAGGCTGGTGACAAACTCATGTGCTCATGTGATCATCTTTTCATCATCATCATCATCTTCTTCTTCTTCTTCTTCTTCTTCTTCTTCTTCTTCTTCTTCTTCTTCTTCTTCTT